TATACAGTAGAGATATAGGCTCATATAGTAATAAGAGGTTAACAGTTGGTCTTTTTCTAATCAGAGGAAATGCACATGTTGGAAGAGAATGAGGCAAAATATTTTCTCCAAATGAATGAACGACTGAGATACTCACAACACTCCAGCATTTTTCTTGACTTCAAGACTAATTTAGGCATCTGTCAGAAGAATTCCCTTTCTACAATTGATCCCTTCCCCGAACACTAGGTACTCAACTAACAGTTAATTACATTAAGGCCAACTCCTAAATGTAAACATAAACTTGAAAGGGAACATTAATGTACAAATATTTAGAAATTATGTGAGAATACTGAATTTAACTGATGATGAAAATGATTCCTGTGATCAGATACCCTAAGTAAGTCTCCATTTTCATACTTGGTTTTTCTAGGCATTGCTTTAGATAACATATATATCATTAAATAACTATCAAAGTGTCAATAAAAAGTTGTTTCTCAAACAGTAATTGAGTATAATTATATAGAATACAAAATGAATTTATGAAGGAAAGAAAGCAAGAACCCATACTTCCTAGATAGTTTGAAAAGGAACAAAAAATACCCAGAAGAATACCAGTTAAATCAGTCTCTTTGTGTGTTCTGGGACTGAATCCAGGGCCTTGGGCATGCCAAATACATGCTCTACTGCTGAGCTAAACCACAGAGCTTAACCCCTAAATCAATCTCTTATAAAAGTCTAAATACCTACTCAATCTCTTACATAACTCAGAAACTATTCTATATAAATAAATCTGAAAATAAATCTTTTAACAGATTTGAAAATAACTTTTTGAGAAGCACTGGATCAAAATTTTATCATATGTGAACTTTCTACATTAAAAAGTCTTCTACACAGACAGTAAAGAACAAAAGGAAATAATACCAGTTCAATGATTTGATTATTTCTTGAGAACAATCTATTGACTTCATCATAGTAATAAAAAAGATATCTGGAACTTAAGGGAAAAAAAGTTCTACATTTCCTCTCCCAAACAAGTTCAATAATTAAAACCTACTCAAATCTATCTTGATAGGATGAAGCAATGAGGCAAAGTTGAAACAGTCTATACAATCTAAATATATTATCAATCATCAAAAAGCAAAATAGAATTGCTTTATGCTTAGAAAAATGGTTACATGTATAAGTGTGCATATGAATAGAACAGAAGAAACAAGCTATTGAATCAATATGGTTAACTTTGACATTAGAAGTAATAGCAAATAATGATAGAATATAACTGTAATCAATGGAGACACAGTCAAATTAGAAGACTGTAAAAATAAATAAAAACTGTGAATCCTTAATTTGAATTAATCAGTTTACATTGATAGCCACAGACAATGATGATAGAAAAATAATACTAAAATTCAACTTATCTACAAAGTAAGCCAAGATGAATTAGACCTTTAAAATAAAAAGAAAATATGCCAGTACTAAAAAAAATGACTTCCACAAAGTCTTTGTGCAAAATGATGGAAAATCTGATGAAAGGTGAAGTACAAGAACTCATGAATATTCTAAATGTGTATGAACTTTCACCTGCCCTAAACCCAGTTTTCTTAATAGGCTCTGAAAAAAATCCCCTTAAAACCCTTGTACCAACGCATTAACAATTGGGTAGAATAAATCTCACCTGATTGTTTGTTGGGTCATATTTGCCTAAAACAGTAGCTGAGTCTTCAGCTATCAAGAGAGGCTCGCTTTTCTCACAGCTCTCCTGGCTGATGAGCGTGTCTGCATAGTTGGGCTGCGGGAAGATCAAGTGGCTCTTCCGAGAGTCAGCGGTGAGGGACACCTCATGGGAATAGGTCTGTAGGAAGGCATGCACCCCCTCAACACCCACAAAGTGAGAGGCGGGCGTGCCCCCTAACCCGCTGCCTGCTCCCTGGAGCAAACGTGAGGAATGCCAGTGCCTCAGTCTGAGTGCCAGCAGCACAATGACAAAGATGAGGAAGATACAGGAGACTGCTGTGATGGCCACAACTAGGTAGAGTGTGAGGCCTGATTCATCTGGGTTGGTGGAAGACTCCAGACTGCCCAAGTCGGCCAGGACTTCTGGGATGCTGTCAGCCACTGCCACTGTGAGTGTCACAGTGGCTGAGAGGGGAGGTTGACCATGGTCCTGGACGGCCACCACGAGGCTCTGCTTGAGCGCATCTTTGTCCAGTAGGTTCCGGGCAGTGCGCACCTCACCTGTGTGCAGCCCCACAGTGAAGAGCCCAGGCTCGCTGGTTTTGAGCAGGCGGTAGGACAGCCAGGCATTCTGTCCTGAGTCTCTGTCCACTGCCACCACTTTGGTCACCAGGTATCCAGGCTCTGCAGATCGGGGTGCTAACTCCACCCCAGTGGAACCATCAGTGGGGAGGATGGGATACAAGATCTCAGGAATGTTGTCATTCTGGTCCAGTATGAACAGATTCACTGACACATTGCTGCTGAGTGGTGGGTCCCCGCTATCACATGCAGTCACTCTCAGTTGTAGGTTTTGGAACTGCTCATAGTCAAAAGAGTGCAATGCATACAGTACCCCAGTATCCGAGTTGATAGATACATAGGAGGACTGAGGTGCTCCTTGGATCATGTCTTCTGTGAGAGAATAAGTGACCTGGGCATTCTCTTTGCTATCTGGGTCAAGAGCGGTCACTGAGAAAATGGAGGATCCTCTAGGATTGTTTTCAGAAACATAGGTAGAGTAAGAAGAGTGAGTGAAGACTGGAGGGTTATCGTTCTTGTCTCCCACATTGAGTAAGAGGTGAATTTCTGTGGATAGGGATGGACTTCCTTGGTCTTTGGCTGTCAATGTTATGTTATAGCTCTGGACTTGCTCTCTGTCCAGCTCGCTGTTTGTTATTAACTTGTAATAATTTCCATAAGTTTTTTCTAACTTAAAAGGGAGATTGTTAGGAATGAAACAGGAGATCTGACCATTTTCTCCAGAATCTCGATCTTGCACATTTAGAAGAGCAATTACCGTTCCTGGAGGCGAATTTTCCAACACCGAATCAATAGAAGAGGTGATAGTTATTTCTGGAGCATTATCATTCACATCCCAAACTGTAACGAACATCTTAGCAGTGGTCAAGAGACCGCCACCATCTTGGCCTTGAATTTCCATCTCATAGAACCTATATTTTTCAAAATCCAGAGGCCCTTGTACTAGAACTTCGCCAGTTTGAGAATTCAACTGGAATATTTCAGAAGCTTTGCTTTCTGTATTCTGGAACGAATACATCACTTCCCCGTTGAGACCCTCATCTGGATCCGTTGCATTTACCACGAGCACTCGAGTTCCAGAGCTGAGGTTTTCAGGAACACTCACTCTATACACAGACTGAGTAAACTTTGGGATGTGGTCATTTACATCCAGGACCACCACTCGAATGGGAACTGAGCCCTTGCGTATGGGATCGCCTCCATCTAAGGCTGTGAGGAGGAGGAGGTGAGCCGCCTCTTTCTCCCGGTCCAGACCTCGCTCCAGCACTAGTTCCGGATTCTTGGCCCCATCAGTTCCGCCTCTCATTTGCAAGGAAAAGTAACTATTAGGGCTGAGTTGGTAGCTCTGGAGAGAGTTCACTCCCACATCTGGATCCCTAGCGTTAGGTAAAGGAAATCTCGATCCAGGAGCTGCGTGCTCACTGACTTTTATCTCTATTTCCTCTTCCCGAAAGCTGGGAGCATTATCATTAACATCCATTATTTCTACCTCCACTCCATAAATCTTCAGGGTGTCCTCCACAAGAATCTCCATATTTAAAAAGCAGGAGGAAACCGTTTCACAGAGCTCCTCCCGGTCTATCCTACCCGCGGTGATCAAGCTGCCACCTCGCGGATTCAGAGCGAAAAGCTGCGTCTTCCCCCGGGAGACGATGCGGACTCCGCGGTCGGTCAGCTCCCGGGGCTCCAACCCTAGGTCCTTGGAGATGTTGCCCACGAAGAAGCCTTTGTCCACCTCTTCTAGCACAGAGTATCGGATGTGTCCGGCTCCAGATTCCCGCAGCGTCCCCAGGAAAATACACAGCAGCACCAGCGCGCTGCGTTCCAGGCTCTGGGGCGGATTCGCCATGGCCGGGATCGAGCCGATAATCCGTAGTGTCTAGAGCGGGTTTGATCTGAATCAGCTTACCTGTCTTTCCACGAGGTCCCAGGCCGTCCGCATCCAAAATATATTAGAAAGCGAAGGAAAGTGCTTTTAAGTTTCCAGCATCAGGATCTGTGAGTATCCATCTTATTCTGCTTTGTGTAGTAGAGGTCGGGGAAGGGGCTCAATAGCTCGCAGCCTCCCGTTCCCTGATTGGTGAACAGCGGCGCCTAGAGCCCACTTTTATTATTGCAACCACTAAGAAAAACTGATGTGCCGGTTCCAGAAGAAATTGTTAACACTTACCTCTGTGAATCATACGTATTTATGAAGCTTAAAACCGCAAAAATAGTTATGTAATGAGATGCTAAATGTTTACCAAAAGCACTTATGAAAGTAATTATTATTAAAAGAACTTGTTCAATTTTTAAAAATTTCAAATACTACCGGGACTGAAAACTTCGTTCTAATTAATTTTACTGACTGAAGGGAGCAGGCATTTGTGGACGTGGAGATAGCATGGTCCCCACAAAATTATCAAGTAGAATGAATGACTAATTCTTACCATTTTTGTGAGTATAATAAAGATAAAAACTTTTGATAAAATTTAAACAGCATTAGGGTTGATATTTAAAATACCATGATAAAATATAACTATTTCATATCCTTAACTAAAAGGTACTTTCATGAATATTTCCTCTGAGATTTCTTGTTTATATGTGGGGAGTGTTGGGAATGGAACATAGGGAGCGACACCCCCAACCCTCAATAATTTTACTATAAAATACCTTTGTATGGTAGGAGGATTTTGAAGCATTGAAAACTTTTTTTTTTCTAACGGTAATACCCAAAGGTTTGACCTAGATTTATCTTAAGACCTTCACCAAAATATTATCTAAAATCATGAAATAGTACTATATTGTGTTACACTGGCATATTGAAATATAAAAAGCGTCATTTTAAATACCTGGTCAAGCGTGTTCTTCTCTGCTTCAACACGAGGAGGTAAAATGCTAGCCAATAACACTGAAGAGCTATCTTTGTTGAGAATATCTTGTACCGCAGGAAAATTATTAACAGAAGTAAGAAAATTAAATTCCGGGTTAGTTTGATCCCCGTGCCCACGCATATTACAGGCATAGGGCAACGTTCCGTCGCTGTAATTAGGGGGCAGCACGGGTCCAGACTTTGAGCAGAAAACTGATCCAAAGCAGCCTCTGGCTACAGGGTTGGAATACTGCCTCAAACACAAAGAAATAGCCAGAATCACTGCGAGAAAGAAGAGCACCGAGATCAAGGCCAAAGCCACAACCAGGTAAAACTGCAGCTCTGCCTGAGGATCAGAGGGAATAGGGTGGTCTGCGATGTCCGGCAAAGCCTCCTGTAGGCTATCAGCGAAGATTAAGAGCAGCGTGGCGGTCGCTGAGAGGGGCGGCTGTCCACCATCACGCACAGCGACTAGCAGGCGGTGGCGGGAAGCATCTTTGTCGTTCAGGGGACGCACAGTGCGCACCTCGCCCGTGCGTAGTCCCAGGCTGAAAAGCCCGGGATCCGTCGCCTGCAATAAATGGTAAGAGAGCCAAGCATTGTGACCTGCGTCAGCGTCAACCGCCACCACTTTGGTGACCAAGTAATCGGGCTGTGCGGCTCGAGGAACCGTATCGAACAGCGCGGAACCGTCGGGCCCCAGCGCCGGGTACAATACTCGGGGAGCGTTGTCATTGCGGTCTTCCACCAACACGCGCAGACTCACGTTGGTGCTGAGAGCCGGCAAGCCCTGGTCTCGCGCCTGTATCGTCAGCTCGAAGGCTCTCAGCTGCTCGTGGTCAAAGGAGCGCTGCGCGAACACCACGCCGCTCTGCACGTTCACCGACACATAGGACGACAATGTTTTGGGTTCCAGGTCGCTGGCAATAATAGAGTAGGAGACTTGGCCATTCGGTCCCAGATCTGGATCCCACGCTCCGACCTGGGTTATGGAGGCCCCGGGCTGGTTGTTTTCTGGTACATGGACCAGGTAGGTGGACTTTTGGAAAATGGGAGCGTTGTCATTCACATCAGTGATGTGCAGGGTGAAGGTTATGTCGGACGAGAGGGGTGGCTTGCCTTTGTCAGTGGCTGTGATGGTAAGGTTGTATGCTGGGTATGCTCCCGGTCCAGGGCCCCATCTGTTACTAACTTGTAGTAATTGTTGGAAGAAGAACGTATCTTAAATGGACCGTTTCTACTTAAACTACAAGTGACTTCTGCGTTTTCCCCCGAATCTCGGTCCCGTGTTTTGAAGAGGGCCACAACCATTCCACGAGGGGAATTCTCCAAAATCTGATCAGATAAAGAAGTGATTATTATTTCTGGGCTGTTGTCATTTTCATCTAGAACCTCTATGATTATTTTACATTGTGTAGAGAGAGATCCACGGTCCTTTACTTCTACATTCATTGTGTATCTTTCTACTTCTTCAAAATCCAAGGGCTGGTGAGTTATAATGTTTCCAGTACTGGAATCCAGATAGAACACACGTTGGGCTTTGTCAGCCACTCCAAGGAAAGAGTAGGTGAACTCTGCATTGATGCCCTCATCCCGATCAGTGGCCATCACCCTTAGAACTGAGGTGCCTGGAGGCACGTCTTCCCGGAGGCTGACCCTATAAACGTCCTGGCTAAACACAGGAGGGTTATCATTGGCATCTACCACTATGATTCTAATCTGAATAGTACCACTTAGGGGTGGGTTCCCACCGTCTAAGGCTGTCAGCACCAGGTGGTGAGTGCTTTGTGTTTCTCGGTCCAGGGTCTTCTGCAATAACAATTCTGGATATTTGTCGCCATCAGGATTATCTTTCACCACTAATGAGAAATACTCATTCGGACCCAGTTGATATTTGCTCAGTGAATTCATACCAATATCAGGATCTTTTGCAGACTCAAGAATTGTTCCCATTCCCGGGCTGATGGATTCACTTATTTCTAAGATTATTTCATCTTTTAGGAATTGAGGAGCTTGGTCATTAATATCCTCAATCATCACAACGACATGAAAAATATTTAAAGGATTTTCCACCACAGCTTCCAACTGCAGCTCACATCTTCTCCTCTCTTTGCATATCTGCTCTCTGTCTATTCGGTCCTTCACAAGCAAGTCCCCACTCTGCGCGTCTACATTGAAGTGCAGCTTCTCTGCGCTAAGTCGCAGCTTCCGAGCTGACACATCCAGGACACTGAGCCCCAGATCCTTGGCGAGGTTCCCCACCACCGAGCCCTTGGCCAGCTCCTCGGGAATGGAGTAGCGGATCGGCTCTCCGAGTGCCGAATAGAACAAAGGCAACAGCCAGGGAAACAGTACCTGCCCGCGGCCGGCGCGTCGCCTCTGCGCGCAGCTCTCTCCCATCACTCACTCGCTTGCTCTGGTGTTTTTTCACTGGATCCCCCACTTCACAGCTGGGAGAGAAAGTTATCTACCACGCTGGAAGAGTATTCGGTCCAGGACAGGCGGAGCCCAGTTTCGGGGATGGGAATCTGTGCGTGTATTCTCCAGGAGTCAGAGGGTTTCCTTCTGTGTGTTGGTGGCTGCGCAGGAAATCCCAGGCAAGAGACTGAGGGATCCCGGGCGTTGGAGCTTGCTCTGCACTGGCCGACAGCGGCGCCCAGAGGCTACGTGTGGAACTGCAGCCTGGCTTTTCTATTAGGGAATCTTCGATTTTTCAAAGTTTATAACCAAAATATTTGAATCTCATTCCTTGGTGAATCCATTTTCACCACAAAGACTTTTTACGTCATCATAAGCACATGTCTCTTTATGTATTAAAATTTATTTTGAGTTTTAAAGGAATATAGAGTGAAGGTCTATAGGAGGTCTATAGGTCTTCTATCCCATGGGCCATTGCCACTGAATTCCACCATTCAGAGATAATTACTGTTGCTCTTTTTAAGAATAATTACCGATAAAATGGGAAGTACTGAAGATAAGCAAAAAGTTTTTGTCTTTAATCCTAGCCTTTATTCAGTCAGAAACTAATAACCCTTCCTTCCACATTTAGATATTAGAATGTAACCATTGGCAATCATCTAGGATATTCTGTATTGCTTTAAAAATAATTATATTAAAAAATTTTGCTTATAATAGATACAATGTCAAAAATGTATTTTCAACCTGTATTTTTTCAAAATGGTAGAATTACTTAGATGGATGCATAGTAATTTGACTCCCATGGACAGAAACTTAATAGTTTCAATGATTTCACAGTTAATAATTATTACCCTAGAGAGTGTGCTCAGCTTCCCACAGACCTATAATTAACCAAATGCTGATTGACACAAAAAAGTCATGGTCTCATAAATAGTTGAGACATTTTAGAACATTCTGATTTTTATGACATCAAGTTAGCAGAGTATTAGTAATTAAAGAGAGTAAACAAAATACATCATTATCTTTGTTTTGTTTTATAGTTGGGGTTGAAACCAGGAGTGCTATACCCTGAGCTACATCCCAGTCCTATTCATTTATTTATTTTTGAGATAGATACTAAGTTGCTTAGGGTCTCACTAAATTGCTGAGGCTGGCCTTGAACTTGTGATCTTTATCCCTCAATCTCCGGAGTCACTGGGATTAGAGGCATGTATTATCACACCCAGCTTATATCACTGATTTAAATGTGCTAATTAATTCATCCACTGATCATTTGTTTGGAAGAATTTTGTGTACTTCTTTGCTTATTTTCTGGTATCCTGAAAAAAAATGACATTTCTTTCTTTACTCTTATTTTGACTCTGAATTTGTTTCAGAGTTTCAGGTATGTTTAACTTCCTCTACATTAACAAGTCCTACCTTGTTAATGAAATACCCTTGTCAACATAGCTTTTACTCCTGTTCTTGGGAACATGTACAAATTTATCTCTCCTCAAACCATATTTAGTTTTACCCTTAATGATTGGGATGTCTAATTTTAAAAAGAAAAGAGAATAGAACCACAAATCTTCTCTATTTAACCCACTATAGACTCTTTAGAATCCCTCTTGAGTAAGGAGAGTCAAATTAAGAGGTATATCTTCCACACAGCAACATGAAATTAGAGAATCAAATGCAAAAAGATGCCAAAGTCTTAACAGGTTTGATTTTAGTTGGAAAAACCTAAACACACATTGTTATGAATTTTAACTGAATATTAAGAAAACTTTAAATCTTTAAGGACTGTATTCAACTATAACTGTTACTACAAGTATAGTTTGGAAAACATAATTGCAAAGGCACATTGTCCTTCTCCCTGAGAAGAACAATGCTGAATAACCTTGGGCTTGGCTTGTGTTTCCAGTTAGGGTAATGCATTTGTTTCTGACATTTACCTATTTTTACCAGACCTGCATACAAATCAAGAGCTTGAGTTGTCTAAAGAGCCAGGTTTTCAGCTTCTGTCCACTGAGGAAAACACACAAATTGAAAAGCATTTTGTATAGAAGTCTGTCTTAGAAATGTTCAGTATTATACTCAACAACACTATAAAATTTAAGTTCCTGCAAAGCTAATCATAACAAACTTATGACACTTTGAGTCTTTGCTGATGAGTCTTACTCATCAAATTCTACTTTTAATGTTTTAGCAAGAGACCAGTGTCACTGAATCTGAGAGAAAAGTAATTAAAAATAAAGATTTAAATTTTACATCACTGTACTGAAAACCTAAAGGTAAAACCAATCATAATTGCTTAAAGGAAAGCAAAAGTAAAAATAGAACTCACTGGAACCAAAGGAGTATCTTCTATAGGAAACTTTGAATCATCTAACAAAGACAAAGGATCCTTTTTCTCACAGCTCTCCTGGCTGATAAGCGTGTCTGCATAGTTGGGCTGGGGAAAGATAATGTGGCTCTTCCGTGAGTCTGCAGTCAGGGAGACCTCATGGGAATAGGTCTGCAGGAAAGTGCGCACCCCATCCACATCCACAAAGTGAGAGGTATGCACACCTGCTAACCCTCCACCTGCCGTCTGGAGCAGGTGAGACTTGTGCCAACGCCAAAGTCTGAGTGCCAGCAGCAGGATGATGAAGGTGAGAAAAAGACAGGAGACAGCAGCTAAGGCCACCACCAGGTAGAGAGTAAGGCCTGAAGCATCATGGTCATGTGGGGGTTCAAGGCTGCTTAAGTCAGCCAAAACATCTGGAATGCTGTCAGCTACAGCCACAGTGAGGGTGATGGTGGATGAGAGTGGTGGCTGGCCATGGTCCTGCACAACCACCACAAGGCTCTGCTTGAGAGCATCTCTGTCTAGCAGGGCCCTTGCTGTGCGCACCTCACCAGTATGCAGCCCCACCACAAAAAGCCCTGGCTCACTGGCCTTGAGCAGGCGGTAGGACAGCCAGGCATTCTGTCCTGAGTCTCTGTCCACTGCCACCACTTTGGTCACTAGGTATCCAGGCTCTGCAGAGCGGGGTGCCAGCTCTACACCAGTGGAGCCATCAGTGGGAAGGGTAGGGTACAGGATCTCAGGAGTATTGTCATTCATGTCCAGCACGAATAGGCTCAGAGACACATTGCTGCTGAGTGGTGGGTTCCCACTGTCACTGGCAATCACTTGCATCTTCAGCTCACGAAATTGCTCATAGTCAAAGGATCGTAGTGCATACAGGATGCCAGTGTCTGAATTAATAGATACAAAGGAGGATAGTGGTGCCCCTTGGATGGTGTCTTCAGTCAGAGAGTAAATGACCTGGGCATTCTCTTTGCTGTCTGGATCAAGGGCTGTCACTGAAGAGATGGAGGCACCCCTAGGGTTGTTCTCTGGGATATAGGTAAAGTAGGAAATGTGAGAGAAGGTTGGTGGGTTGTCGTTGATATCTGCCACTTGCAGGGTAAAGTGAGTTTCAGTTGACAGAGGTGGACTCCCACCATCTGTGGCTGTTACTGTGATGTTGTAAAAGGATACCTGTTCCCTGTCAAGGGCTCGGTGTGTCACCAATCTGTAATAACTGTCAATAGACTTTTCTAACTTAAATGGTAGATTACTTGAGATGGAACAGGTTACCTCTCCATTCTGCCCAGAATCTAAATCATGCACGTTTAAAAGGGCTATGACAGTTCCTAGAGGTGAATCTTCAGTCACTGGACTAAACAGAGATGTGATGGTCACCTCTGGACTGTTGTCATTTATATCTTCTATGGTAATCAACACTTTTGCAGTTGCAATATATGCTCCTCCATCTTCTGCCTGTACTTCTATTTCATAGAAGCTTGTTTCTTCATAATCTAAAATTTCAGATATTTTAATTTCCCCAGTATTTTTGTTTAGTTGGAATTTCGACAATTGTATGTCAGGTAATTTTCGAAAGGAATAGGTTACTTCTCCATTGGCTCCTTCATCCTTGTCAGTGGCGGTGACCCTTAGCAACTGAGTGCCTACAGGCAAATTCTCTGGAACATTTAATCGATACTCTGGCAAAGTGAATACCGGTGCGTTGTCATTTGCATCAAATACAGTCACAGTGACGAGGACAGTGCCTGATCTGAGAGGGTTACCTCCGTCAGAAGCAGTGAGAACCATATGGTGAATGGCCTCTTCTTCTCGATCTAGGGCGTGCTCCAGCACCAGCTCTGGGTACTTGACGCCATTGGCACGACTCTGAACTCCTAGTGAGAAATGCTTATTGGGGTTGAGCTGGTAACTCTGCAGTGAGTTCACGCCCACATCCGGATCAATAGCTTCCGGGAGAGGAAAACGCATTCCTGGAGCGACGTTTTCATTAATCTTTACGTCCAGATTTTCTGCTTGGAATTTTGGGGCATTATCATTGATATCCGTTACTTCTATTTCTATCCCGAAAAGTTTCACCCTATCTTCCAAAAGGATGTTAAAATTCACCAAACACCGTGCGCTCTGAGCACACAGTTCCTCCCGGTCTATCCTGCCTGCGGTGACCAAGCTGCCGCTTCGCGGGTTCAAAGAGAAAAGCTGCGTCCTACCTCTGGAGACGATGCGGACTCCGCGCTCCGCTAGCTCCCGGGGCTCCAGTCCCAGGTCCTTGGAGATGTTACCCACGAAAGAGCCTTTCTCTAACTCCTCAGGAACGGAATAGCGGATCTGCCGGGCTCCGGACTCCCAGGGCATCTGCAGGTAAAGGCAGAGGAGGACCAGCTTGGTGTGGTCGGAGAGCTTCCTCACAGCAGCCATTGTTGTCTGGTTACGAAATTCTCCTTAAGTCCTCCCGGGACCCTCTGTATATTTCAACTGGTTCCTTGTTCTTTCTGTGACGGCAGGGATTCTCTGTAGCCTGCGCACCTTAAATTCCGGAGTGAGTTTCTGTTGCAGCCCAGGAGCCAGTTTGTAGGAATTGTGGGGCTTTGTGCAGTTGGAGATGTGAGAATACCGACTGAGTGCTTGCTGTGATTCTCTCCAAGTAGGT